CCTCTCCCTCCCACCCCGCCGCCCCCGCCGTCGCCCCGCCGCGCCGCGCTCACGCCGCCTCCTCCTGCTCCTTCTCCTCAGTAACGCGGGTAAGCGATGCGGTCCCCTCCCCCGCGGCGTCCCGGGAATAACGCGCTCGCTCCCCTCCCCCGCCCGCCGACCGGTAGCGCTAACGGAGCGGGAGATTGAGGCAGCCAGGGAGCGACGCGCTGAGGAGACAGCGTCCCTCCCCGCCAGCCCGCCTGGGCGCCGCCCCCCCCCCGGGGCGGGGGTTTCCTGGGGGGCGCCCCCCCGCCGCTTCCACCGCGCCGTGCCCGCAGCCTCGCCGGGGGCCATGTGCAGCGCCAACCCCTTGAGGCCTAGCGGGGGAACTGGGGACAGGTTCCCCGAGCGTCCCTGATGCAGCTGCTGCTCTTGTGCGCCCTGGAGATCCGGGGAGGACCGAGGGGAGAAGCAGCCACAGCCAGGCCGGGCTGGAGCAGGGGCCGTTCGCGGAACTGTTTTCCGGGGCCCGGCGCAGATGCCCCGGGGTTGCTAGCCCCGCTCCGGGGAATTGTCACACACACCGAAAAGGAAACAGCACGTCGTGTCTGTACAGCTAGGAAAAAAAAAAAAAAAAAAAAAAAAAACGTAGTGGAGAAATTAGCAAGAAAGTTGAATGACTGTCAGAGCCTTGGTCGCTGATGGTCCTACAGGGACGTTATGATTTTGTTCGCCCCCCTCACCCCTTTACATCCCTGCGTGTTGGGAAGTCTTTTCTGTTCTTTCTCCCCCCCACACACACAATTTTGTTATTATTACGTTCAACAGAGTGTCACTGTTGTTTGAACTTGCTTTTCTAGATAAACAAATTGGGCCTGACTGTTTTGACCCTTGTGTATTGGGTCTTGAGATAGCAAGTCTCCTAAACTAGTTAGAGGTGAAGAGGTATCTTCACTAAATAAGCTGTTTTTTTTCTTTTTTGAAGAATAAAAGAAGAATTTCCAGCATGAATGAATATGAACAAACATGTACACCTCACCCCTAAGGTTATAGTTTCCCGGGGTGATTTTAAAGAATTCACCCTTCATCTTTTCGGGGGAAGGAGGTGTTCGAGTCAGGGTTTCTCTGTGTGTAGCACTGGCTGTCCTGGAACTCACTTTGTAGACCAGGCTGGCCTTGAACTCACAGAGATTCGCCTGCCTCTGCCTCCCAAGTGCTGGGATTAAAGGTGCTTGCGACCGCCATCCTGCTAAGGAAACTCCATAAATTTAAATGCAATTGATTTCAAGAGCATTGAGTCATGAAAAGATGGCTAAAGTCAAACTGGAAGTCCCTTTTTGTAATACTTGAATCAATAGGTTTATGTAGCTACACATTCAACTGAACAAACATCCTCAAAATTTTTCATCTTTAGCTATATTTTTAGGGAATTTACCTATAATTGCATCAGGTTCTGATAGTGTGCCCATCTTCTGAAGTTCCGCTCTGCTTTTTGGCCTAGGAGAATATGACTTTAATGGATCCGATAGTCTATAATATACACAGCTACATACCACCTCATTTCTAAGATTTACTAGTTTCTATGGTAAATGTTCTGAAAAAAAAAAAAAACTGCTTTTTGATGGACTATTTCTTCTTCCTAGAAGTTTTAGGAAACTGCCATATTCTCAAAATAATGCAAGTAGATACCAAAGTGAAATAGACCCATTCATTAATTTGGATAAAGAAGGAATCTGGTTATGTGTTGTTAGTTTTTGTTTTTGTTTTTTTATGTGTCATAAGTTTATTAGCTAATCCATGAAGTTCTTGTAGCATATGTTGCCTGGCATATTTCCAGAAATTTGATAATTAGTAATTTATGCAATATTCTTAGGTCCCTTCACCAGGGAAGGACTGGTGAAAATACAGGAGACCACATTCTTTACTAGTAGTTTGCTTTGTGAGGCTCCGTTAGGTTTCCTCATCTGTGTGATGGGGATGGTAATGCTTAATCTATGGAGTTGTGAGGCGTAGATAGAGAATATGTAAAGCTACTAAGATTGTATGTCATATGTCTATATTTTGTTACATTAAATTTAATTTTTGTTTTCTTGTTTATTTTTGTATTTTGAGAATGAATTTGTTGTTCATGTGCATAGGGTATTGTTACAGCCTCAAAATCTCTTCTGCTGTTGAGTATTGTAGGGGTGTTCATCTACACAGTGGTTTAAAATAGTAGTTTATAGCTATTTTTGTTTGTTTTATCACATTTACTTAAGGGGGGTGGCTCACACAAGTGCCATGGCACACTTTGGGAGGTTAGAGGACAGTGGTACAAGTTGCAAAAGTCAGTTCTCTCCTTTTATCATGTTGGCCTCAGGGATTGAACTGAGGCAGGCAGATTAGAATGCTGAGTACCCTTATGCACTAAACCATCTTGCTGCCCTCTAGGCATTTTATTTTTATTTATTTATTTACTTATTTTTATTTTTCAAGACAGGGTTTCTCTGTGTAGCTTTGGAGCTTATGCTGGAGTTCACTCCATAGACCAGGCTGAGAGATCCGCCTACCTCTGCCTCCCAAGTGCTGGGATCAAAAGGATGTGCCACCATCGCTCGCCCTGTGCCATATTTTTTTTTTTAAAGCAGAAACTACATGAGAAATTGGTCATTGGGTGCCTAAGAGAATCTTTATGTTTTTTTCCTTTTGCTTAAAATTTTTGTATTTGGAATGCTTTTCAAATAGATTACCCATAACAATGATTTACTTTGTATTGTAGTAGTAAAGTGTTGTAATATCTTCTGACTTTACTTAGTTAATATGTTTCAAGATCTAGTTTACAGTTGCTCTCCTAGTCATCGTGCTACCAGAGAAGGCAAGTGACTCTATGTTACAAAGTTAAATTTAAACAAGTTATTTGAATTTATGTGATTGTACCAGACTGTTGTGTTCTTCAGGGTTGTTGGTTTGTTTTTGTTTTGTTTTGGGTTTGTTTTGGTTTTTCAAGACAGGGTTTCTCTGTGGCTTTGGAGGCTGCCCTGGAAGTAGCTCTTGTAGAGCAGGCTGGTCTCCAACTCAGAGAGATCTGCCTGCCTCTGCCTCCCTATTGCTGGGATTAAAGGTGTGCACCACAACCACCCAGTGATTGTTTTGGGGTTTTTGTTGTTTTCCTTACTGCTGGGGATTGAACTTCTAATCTCACACATGCTAGCAAATACTCTACCAATAAGCTAAATCCTTGCTCTTTAGTTTTGACCCATTGTTTAGCAGTCCTGAATGTTTCTTTTCTTTGAAATAACATGTTCCTTTCCATTCCAAGAGTTTTTGAAAATATAGTGGGTTTTCACACATAAAGGTGTCCTTGGAGTTTGTGCAGTTGAGGCAATTTAACTTTAGCATACAAACAGGAGTATTATGAAATGTTGTGACAATGATAGCCAAGGTTGACAACATTTGAACAAACGACACTTGGGTGCTTCTCTGAGGGGACTTACCAAGTAACAAAAGAAATTTTCTTCATTGAGCCAACTGTACTTGGATACTTCTCTAAGAGAACTTACCAAATCAACAAAAGAAATTTTCTTTTAAATTGGTGATTTAAAATATCCAGTTATAGCCAGGCAGTGGTGGTGCACATCTTTAATCCCAGCACTGGGAGGCAGAGGCAGGATCTCTGAGTTAGATGCCAGTCTGGTCTACATACAGATCCAGTTCCAGGACAGCCAGGGCTACACAGAGAGACTGTGTCTTGGGGGAGTGGGGAAAGAATCCAGTTATAGCCATTTTGGTTAATATTAAGCTTTAATTCTCAGAAGTAAAGAAGTGTAGTAAGAGTTGATAACGTTTTTTTTTTGTTGTTGTTTTTTTAATTGTTATATAAATCATGCTAAAGACTAATGAGTCTGTAATACACTGTTCCTACTTGAATAGAAAACTTTCTTATTAACACTTTTTGTGATCTATTTTAAAAATATCCAGCAGTCCCGGGCAGTGATGGCACACACCTTTATTCCCAGCACTCCAGAGGTAGAGGCAGGCAGATCTGTGAGTTCAAGACCAGCCTGGTATACAAGAGCTACTTCCAGAAAGAGGGGGAAAGCAGGAGGGGAGAGGAGGACATGAGAGAACGAAGATTTAGTCAGGGGAAGAATTGAGGAGAACAAGAAA